GCTCGTCTGGATCCACCATGGCCTGGGCCCCCCTGCTCCTCACCCTGCTCACCTACTGCTCGGGTGCGGTAACCCAAAAAGATTTTAATCTAAAAAGATTTTCCCTTCCCCAGCTGCCTGTGCTGGCTGCCTGCAGAGTGAGCTCTCTCTCCGCACAGCAATGAAACAGCGAATTGATCCCTCTGTTTTCTCCTCTTCTCCCAGGTTCTCTGGCCCAGTACGTGCTGACTCAGCCGCCCTCAGTGTCTGTGTCTCCAGGGCAAAACGCTCAACTCACCTGCTCAGGGAACAACATTGGTAGCAAGGCTGTGCACTGGTACCAACAGAAACCTGGCAGTGCCCCCCTACTCGTGATATATAGTGATAGCAACAGACCCTCCGGAATCCCTGATCGATTCTCTGGTGCCAACTCCGGGAACACGGCCACGTTAACCATCACTGGGGTCCAGGCGCAGGACGAGGCTGATTATTACTGTCAGGTGTGGGACAGCAACACTCCTCACAGTGACCCAGCCCGATGTGGAAGTGAGACTAAAACCTCCTCACTAAGAAAAACCTCACTTAACATCCTTTCTTGTGATGGGGGGTGGGATAACATTTCAGAGGTGCAGAGCGGCCTGCATATTTCATCTCCTAGAAACCCTTCAAGACAATGATTGGGTTAATGGTGCCCTGACAATGGCAAAATTCACAACCCCTTCAACATTCAACATTGCTGTAGTCCCATGTATTTAGGGAATTACAGAGATCAGGTGGTGAGCTCTGTGTAGCTCCAAACGTCCTCTCTCTCCAAGAGAAGATGGTGCAGTAAAAAATACAGTCTCATCTCCCAGGCAATTTTAGAGTCGAATGCAGGTTTCTTTGGAAGCATAACTCTGATGGAATGTCACAGTTTATCCCTGGTCTACATATTTTCCCTGAGTGACTCTGCATTCTGTAGGTGATGATTTGTTGGGAATTGTGGATGATGAGCAGGAAAGAGCTTCTAGTGGACATCTGGCATTTCTCACAGAGCTGAGGACTCAGATGTTCTCACTGCCTGACTCTCCTGGGAACACTGTAAAACCCTCCTGCACTGTGAATACTGGGACGAGCTTCAAAGACCACAGTAAACACGAGTCCCAGCAGGGAATCTGGGATTCTCCTTAGTACAGTAGTTACTTCTCAGATTCTGAGAAATACCAGAGCAGTGCTGGAGTCCCTGCTTCTGCGTATGGGTACCAGGGCATACCCAGTAACTTAGCTATCTGTTCCTAAGGACAGGATGCTGTCATTGTGCTCTCTGGTACAGCAGTGGAAATAAGAAAAAATCACCCTTTTCACTCCTGTGGCCTGTACTCTTCTGGGAAATTCATAACTTGCTGTTTGGTTTCATCCTTAAGAGGGTTCCAAGATCACTGTACTAGGCTGGAACATCACCCCAATATTCTTTTCCTCAGTAAACCTGTCTGTGCACAGGCTGATTTTTATTGTAGTATATGTGCATTGTCCAGTACAGGCAGTCCCCGAGTTA